AATATAGAGCATATCGATGTTAAGAATCATAAACGATATTCATTATGAAAAATGAGATCATTTTTTATAGAGATAAATCAATAAAACGAAAATCTGTACCAGATGAGACCAAATTCTAAAATTGATAGCAAATTGTCCATAAGTTCTCTTGTTTTTTCAAACCTATCCCATAAATTCCTAAACTCACAGAAAAATGGAATAAATCTCGAAAAACAAATCCCTATAAATCCAGAAACTCATTGATAAAATGTAATAATTCCCATAGAACAAATAAAGCCTAGTATTTATTTAAAAAGTCCGAATAAATCTTGAAAAAAGAAGTCTTACAAGCTGCTGAAGAAGAAAAGTAAAGAGAACAATGTATTTAGAAAGATTTGTACGTAAGAGAACGATCGATACACATACCAATGATGAGGAAGAGGAAAAAAGAATACGAAAGAAAAGCAGATAAAACTGACAAATAATGACACACAACTGAACGAAGAGAGGAACAATGACTGAATTCAGGGCTAATGGCATAATAGTGTTTTGAAAGAATCGAAGATTAAATATTTTGATAGATTGCGAATGTTAAACTAATCAAAAACGTTACACTCTAGTCGTCATCATCCATATAGTTCTGCATTACTACCATTGCCCATACCAGCAAATAAGACATTTCCGTTTGCCAATATGGATGCTGTGTGAAACGCTCGTGCACTGCTCATAGTGCCAATAGATGTCCAGAGTCCTGTGGATGGATTGTACACTTCTGCACTACTCAATGCGGTGCTATTAACACCGGTGAAAGCATTAGTGACTCCACCAGCAACTATGACATTTCCGTTTGTTAATGTCACTTGTGTATGAAAAATTCGTGTAGTGCTCATGTTGCCAGTAGTTGTCCAGAAACCTTTAGATGAATTATACACTTCTGCACTACTTAATGAGCCACTAATACCGGATCCACCAGTAACTAAGACATTTCCGTTTGGCAATATTGATGCTGTGTGATAAAATCGCGCAGTGTTCATATTACCAGTAGCTGTCCAACGTCCTTTAGATGGATTGTACACTTCTGCACTACTTAATAAGGTACTAATACCGGATCCACCAGTAACTAAGACATTTCCGTTTGGCAATATGGATGCTGTGTGATAAGCTCGTGCAGTGTCCATATTGTCAGTGATTGTCCAACGTCCTTTAGATGGATTGTACACTTCTGCACCACTCAATGGGGTTATACGACTACCGGTTCCACCAGCAACTAGGACATCTCCGTTTGTTAATGTGACTTGTGTATGAAAAAGTCGTGTAGTGCTCATGGTGCCAGTAGTTGTCCAAAAACCTGTAAATGGATTATACACTTCTGCACTATTCCATCCGGCGTCGCCACCAACAACTAAGACATTTCCGTTTGGCAATATTGATGCTGTGTGATAATATCGTGCAGTGTTCATGCTGCCAGTAAGCATCCACACTAGAAAGGAATATTCGAATGTAATAGTCATCTGATTTACATGTGAGAGTGTGGGGTGGGTGGGAGTGGAAGTGTGTGCGTATTGTATTTGTCATATCCACACCTACAACCTCACCCACGCCCTACCCATCGCATGCAATAAAGTTCTTTACGAAAGAGTATACATCTCAACTTGCTCGGTGTAGACATACGTCACAATGAGCACTTAATTTCCCTCGAATCAAATAAAGAAAAAATAACAAAAACTAATAAATAAAATATTCCCATACAAGAAGATAATATCATCTGAAACATCATCATTCGTTAATCTTCGATCTTTGCTATTATTTCAATTAGGGGAATTACTTTATCTTTATTTTATCAATCAAACATAAATAGAATTATTATATTTCCAAAAAAAGAATAAAAAAAATTTCTTTCTGTAGTAGATAATGAGGCAAATCCCTAGCATAGCAACAGGATGTATTAATCGATATTCTTTCTTATCACTACCCTCACATCTTCATGTAATATTATAAAAAAAAAACAAAGATGATACTGGAAAAAATATATGAAAAAAACTTTTTCAGATACTTTATTTGTATCTATTGTATCTGACTTTTTTTGTAATTTACATAGAAAAAACAGGATTTCCTAGAAAATAAATTTCTTTATTTTATAAAGATAAAGAATAATAAAAATAATGAAATATCTGAAATTTCAATCAAATTAGACAAGTAAGAATCAACTAACAATATATGATTGATGTTTTTTCATTAAATAGCCTGTTATAAGTAATTGATCAACTTCTTTTTATCTCTCTTTGAACACAGACATACCTGCTTCTTCTGTTGTTGTTGTTGTTATTGTTGTTGTTGATTCTGGTTCTGCTGTTGTTGTCATCGTTATTGTTGTTGAATTTGTTTCAGCAACGTTTCCCTTTTTCGTCAGAATAATAGCTGTTGGAATAGTAATGATCGCTATTATCACAACAGTTAATATGATCCACGTCAATTTACTTCGAATGCACACACATCTAAAATAACTTTTTTTTAAATTTATTCAAGCTCAGAATACACGTACGGTCTTGTCGATTGTGTAGGTTGTGTTTCAACTATATCGCTGTTAACTGACTCAGGCTACAAAGTAAAGAAAAAAAACGAATTAGTTTTTGTTTTTTCTATAATAATTTATATCACAAACACGTATTCTGTTTTGGTTCTCCATTTGTAGATCTTCGTCAAAGTTTTGCAATGCTATGAGATTAAATCTAAAAATGAATTCGAAAAAAGATGATATTAAAAAACCTTTAGATTTAAAGGCAATGTAACATCTAAAGAGTCATATCATGAAAATATAAGAGTTTTTGATATCAAATACTTACTTGAATCGGCTTAAAATCAAAATGAAGAAAAACAACGTTTGAGATGCATTAAATAGGAGAAAAAAGTTTCTCTATGTGATGAGATTATTCATCATAAACTTAATAAATGAAGACTTTATTACAAAGTTTAAGAGAAAACAAAAAAAACGTGCTATTTATTATTTAGCATCTATCATTGACATAATAAATCAAAATATTTTTAATAACGTTAAGAAAAGTAAAATCATGCTTTTCTCCCAGATTCATCAATCATAAAAGATTAGAATAAGTAAAGAATATGCACGTAGGTGTTTAAAATATAGAAAAAAAAGTACAAGAATAATTTAGATATAATTCTTATAAATCATATTTTGAACTTTTATGCGATTCAACAAGGACTACAAAGGTATGCGTACAAAATGTCCTCATATTAAAACGATATGTTATCACTTACCGGAACAAAGATACATGTATTGATATGAAAATATTCACTGACTCTAATTCTGAGAATTATTGGAATTGATATTCATCATCTCAGTACTTCTGTGCTTTTTGAGCGAATTTATGTTTTTATATATTCTTTTTCATCAAGTTCCAAGATCCTATTTCATTCGTATTCGTATATCTCATTTTTTTGAGAGAAATTTTTAATCGATCTTTCAATATGCTTTTAGAAAACTCTTGATTTCGATCGAATTAATGTTTTTCTTTTTATCATCGAATCTTTGGAATTGATTGATATTATTTGAATAAGCAATGTTTTTATGTATTTCTCATTCATTTTATTTTATATTATGAGAAGAAAGATAAAAGACTTTTTCATTACAATCGATTAATTTATGATGAAAGTATTTTGAGAATATTTTAAAAGTTAGACATTTATTTTAACTTTATTTATAAATCCTTTGGTTTTATAACATGATTTGCTGATCATAATTGTTCACAACGAATTTAAAAGTCAATAATTAATTAATCTTTACTTGATTTTGCCCATTAAATAAATATAAAAATTCTGCATTCTAACTAATGGATGTGGTTGTTGATATGATTTTCATGTATACCAGATATTCAGACCTACACTAACACCCACCCTCAAGAGTTTTTAGTCAGACCGATTTTCTTCTATATTGATATGAAGTCACTCGAAAATGAAAGCCAATCTGAAAGTAATAAAAAAACAAAAACATGATTGATGATTAATTTAATGAGCTTGTTATTGTAATGCTTCTTCAAAACAAATTTTCTTTCATCGATCATTTATATATATTATTTATCTACACATATAAAAGCACGTCATCAATTGCGCAGGAGAATTTCCTGTGCATGACAGAAGTACGTCATTGGCTTATGCGCATATGAATTATATTCATCATCCAACCATCAGCAGCTTTTTTTCTTATCTCTTATGTTTTTCAGGCGCTTGACCATATATAATTTTGTATTGTATTCAATTTCTTTTTGTTTTGTTTTATATACTTAATCCAGAATTCTTTTTACCATTTTCAAAGTGTATTAAATCTATATTATCAAAACATAAAAGACATTGATCGATGTCTTTTTGTTCATTTTTCTGCTAAATAAAATAAAATTCATGCATTTATCATTGATAATGAGTGATGTTCGTTGTAGATAGCTCAATTTTGATGAAAAACATCTCTACTAGAAGAATCATTTTCTGAATAAGATAGTAGTTTCATTGATACTTCTGCTTGGTTTTATAGATCTTAGATAATCGAAGAGTAAAAAACGAAGTATTCTTCCAAGATAAAATTTTTTTATCCAAGGAGAAAAAGCGGATCCTATGGATTTCGACAGGTCCCACAGAATCTCAAAGATCCATCTGGAGAGTATGGATGTGAGTAAGGGTGAGGATGTAGGAGTAGTCATCCTATACTGAAATGTTGAATATTACGAAATTAATTCTTTCTAATTCCAGGAACACGATCGTCATACAACATAAGAGACTGGATGACTGGCGTTTCGTATCACCCTTTACGAAGGTTAGATGCGGGTTTGGGTGTGTGCGTTGGTGTATCTTATTTATTTCAACATCTTGGGTGTGGGTATGGGTGAGCGTGTGGGTGCTTCTTCTTCTCTCATACCCACCCCACGCCCACCTACACCCACACCCACACCCACACCCACACCCTGAAATAGGTCAGAGGTGGGTGGAATGGGTGAAATAGGTCAGAAGTAGGTGTTATGGGGCAGAAATGGGTGAAAGAGGTCAGAACTAGGTGAAATAGGTTAGAAGTGGGTGAACAGGGTGGAAATGGGTGAAATAGGTTATAAGTGGCTGAAACAGGGTAGGAATGGGAGAATTTGGGTGGAATACGGTGGAACAGTGTATTTTTTGGTGGGTGAATCTGGGTGTGTAAGTGGGTAGGTATCGATTTGCTTGTTATTTTTATTCATTACTGATATCCATAATCAGATCCAAAGCTACCCACATCCAATCAAATATCGAGGGTCATAGTCCTGACCGAGCTGGAGTCGATAGTTGTCAGGTTGATGGTTCGGAATTTAAGATGTATAAAGTTTATCAATTGGGGCTCGAAGATGTGCGGGTGTTGGTGTTACGGTGGGTATAAGTGATGAGGGTGTGTGGATGTGAGTTGGAGACTCTAGCCGTCGCAGCGGTTGTTCATGCAGAATGAATGTGGGTGTTGGTGAGCGGGTATCGGAGTCGTAGCGGGTGTAGACGGTGAAGAGTGTTGGTGTGCGTGGGTGAGTTCATATAAGTGCAGCAGCGAGTGACGTTATTGCATGACTGCGGCTGTGAGTGGCTGGGTGTCAGCGTGTGTTTTGTTCTGATTTATTAGCGATATCTATAGTTACATCGAAATTCTCAGTTACAACCAGTCCTATACTCTTACAGTCGAGGGTGAGGTGAGTCGAGACGGCGCACGTTACTTGTTTATATAAATTTTGGAAAAATTTTCAAAAAAAGTCGTTAAAAACTCACAAAAATCGTTGAAAATTTTTAAAATTTCGATAGTTTATAGAAGTCTCTGAGAACTTTTTGAGAAATTTTTCGACCTCAAATATTTAACACTTCGCGACAACCTTTTATGTTGAAATTATATTCACAAATAAGTTCTCGTCAGTCTGATCTTCATGTTTGAGTATGAAACATAAATGTTATAAACAAATTTATTATGAGAGACTTAAAATACACTTAACTTGGGCTTAAGATCTGAGTCTAAGTTTAATGCATGTTTTTAATTATAAGACTCTCATTTCCTTCTTTTTCTGCTTTTTATACGTTGTCAGTACTTTACTCAGCTAAAACTTTTCGGCCCATCAATAAAAATCTTACCCATTTTGCCCATCGAATTTTTCAAGGTACTAGAAGTTTGCCCATTGGTCTAAAAATCCTGGCTACGCCACTGTAGCGAATCCAAAGAAAATAAGAAAACTAATAAAAAAGATTAATTTCAATCCATAGATTACTGCAGTCTACCAAACATTAAAATAAAAAGAAATATAAAATAAATCGGAACAAACTGACTTTTTGTTTTTGAATTCTTTGAATTATATATTTTCGAAGTTTTAATACAAATAAACCATTTGAATGACCATCGTCAGGAAGATTTTCAAAACCTACGTTATTCTTATCTTCTTCTTCTAGCGATTGTAATTTTGATGTTAATATCGATCCATTTGTAGTATTTATTATGTACGGTTGTTGATCTAACTCAAATACAGGATTTTTATGGGCAATTCGATTCTGAATGAAAGAAATTGTTTCATTTTTTTTTGTATTAAATAAAACTAACCTGTGTTATTTGAAATTTTGTATTCGATTGATTTTAGTGTAAATAAACTACAAAAAGAAAGCTAATCTTTGATACATTTAGATTATTAATGCTTTTATTTCTCTCTCTCTCCATATGTGATAAGATAGTACAATACTCAAATTTGATTTATTTCAATTAGCATTTCACATTCGATGCACTATCATGTCTAATAGCTGTAAATAAACAAAAGTATATTGATAAGAATTTATGGTAATCCCAACTTTGGTCGAAAAACTAAAATGTCGAAGTATATAAAGATCGAAAGGTAAAAATGTCGAAAAAAAATTAGACAAATGTCGAATGTAAGAATATCGAATTGAAAATAGTCGAAATATTAAAATATCGAAGGGTAGAAATGTCGAATTTGAAAATAGTCGAAATATAAAAATGTCGAAGGGCGGGTGTGGGTGAGGGTGTGGGTGTGGGTGAGGGTGAGGGTGAGGGTGAGGGTGAGGGTGAGGGTGAGGGTGTGGGTGTGGGTGTGGGTGGGTGTGGGTGTGGGTGTGGGTGTGGGCGTGGGTGTGGCTAAATATAGGTGAATGTTTATATTTACACTGATACCCACACCCACTCTCAAACGTCTTTCTTTATTTTTACCATTAAGTTGTTTCGAACACTCAAAATCTTATCATTTTCATATTTCGACTTTTTTTCTTCGATATTTTTATCCTTCGATATCCTTATACTTCGGCATTTTTTACTTCGATATTTTTATATTTCGACATCTTTATACTTCGACATTTTTACTGTCGACCAAAGTTGGGAGAATCGAATTTATTTCAACAAACATAGTTTTTATCAATTTAAGAGAAAAAAAAATCCAAGAAATTCTTCATAAATCGACTTACTTTTTTTCAATGACTGATCTTATTTTTTTTTAATTTGTATGTATTCTTTTCAAAAAAAGATTACCGTAGTATATTTAATACACTTCATCAGCATATTTTTATATTTATTTATCTTATGAAAACAAAATTTGATAATCTTTTTATACATGACATTCACTATAAATTTATTTAATACAAATCTAAATGATTGAGAAAAGTAAATAATGTCTTGTTACAGTGTCTGATCATTTAACTCTATGAAAAAAAACATTCTACTGATTTCAAGTCGGATTTTTTGATTTTGAACAATAAAATACAAGATTGTTTTAAAATTCAATTCACTTTCTTATCTTACTAAATTTCACTCTTAACGATAGTGACGTTTACATATAAAATAAATCTATTGAATTAAGACTCTTGAGGGTATAGATGTTATAATTATCTGTTACCTAGATTCACACCCACCCTCAACAAGCTTATTTTATAATAAATCTTGGTCAAATCAATTAGAAACGCATCAATTCCAGTTAGTTTTATTGAATAAAGCAAAAGAATATATTAATGAAACCAGTAGAATAAAGACAAATCACAAAAGCCACAGCATAAATACACAATACAAAATTTGCAAACAACAAATAATTAGTAAAATATAACATATAAGAATGCTCAATAGATTTAGAAGCTTATTAACAACAATTTTGATCATATATTTCTCAGTAGCTATGTGTAAGAGAACACAAAACAAAGAAAAGCGCAAGTTTAGAACTTTCAATACCATATGAATACTTTTTAGTGATGAAACTTAGGAGTCGTGCTCATATAAATTTGAAGGTAAAATAAGTTTTGAGATTATATAACTAGTAGTGATAGTTAAATATTCTTAGTTAACTTGTTTTGGTAGAGAAATTAACTGAAAATATTTAATTGTATTTTCAATCTCAGACCTTATATCACCTTCAAATTTATATATGAGTACTGTAACACTTACTCTCTTAATATCAGAATTTTTGAATAATGTCATTATTCTCGTATGCAGATAAATGTCAATTACATTCTGTTGTTGAAATAGTTTTAATTAATGTCCAGTAAATGTATCATTGTTGTTGAGTAGTTCGAAAGCAAATTAAAATTTTCTTAATTAATTTAACAAGATAAGGTACGATAAAGTAAACGGCAATTGATAAACTACCTGATGCACTCAAAAATGTTGTTAATATTTCTAATGCATCAGATTTTTGATAATATGTATAAATACAATAACTTGGAGAGCAACTATTAAAATATCGTTCATAGGATTTATTAGTGGACCATGATTCGATAAACATTTCATATGCTATGTTTTCAACAGTATCATTCACAGAGAATCGTGTTCTTTGAGCATTCAATCCGATAGATTGATTCATCATTACCGATTTTGTGTAAAAAGCCTTTCGAAGGATGTTAATGCAGTCGACGAAATAGAAACAAGTTAAAGATGAGAAAAGTAGTGTTTCAAGTTGATGACAACCAATAACTAAACCATCAATAGGAATCGAACCACCATCTATCTTTACTTGTCGTGGTATTCGACATGTTCGTAAAGTAACACATGAACAACTTGTATTCTCTTGTGTGTTGTTACGCGTAACAGGGACATTGAGGAAATTAGTATCGCTTTTATCATCTGTTTTAACTGCAACTAAACTCCAAGCGTCTGTAGTTATATGTAGTAAAGCATTTCCTTGGATAGCTGAACGAATAAAGTCTAACATATGCGCAAATGTAGTTTTTGTTTTATTTTTGAATTGACTTAGTATTTCATCCATTTCAGTGTTAAATAGACTTTCAAACATTAGTTGATTGGTAAACAAAGTTGAGGCAAGAAATACGTTAATATTCTTGTTAACATTGTCTTTTGTCAAAGAACAAAGTTGTTCCAAGGATTCTATGAAAGATTTCCCCCAAAGTGAGTAGTCTTCACCGTAGATCGGTGATCCAGTTATAAAATTTGCTATATCTGCAAATATAATTATTGGAATACGCTTAAAAATTTTTTTTATTTAGGTCTTTTAAAGTTTAGCTAATCAAATTTGCTTTTTTCATGACTGTGAAAAATTTTATGAAATGTGAAGTTTTCTCCTACTTGAATTTATTTAAAATTTCTTTTCTTTACGCATAATCAATATCAACAATTCAAGTATAATTCAGATTAGATTCGTTGAAACTTCATCAAATAAGAGAAACCGTATTTCAATCCGAAAGTCTTGAATATTTATTTTGTTATTTGATTGAATTTTAGAAAGATGAATAAGAGAACTAACATCTTTGTGCTTACCCTTTATCAATATCGTACGCAGCCACCTAATACGACATGCTTCATGAAATGAACTGACTTGTAATTCAGTGATAAAACTACCATAAGGAATTGATGTATATGTGCATGGACAACTGATATCATCTGAATAGAGGCTTAATAATTGTTCATATTCATCAATCGAATGTGGAAAATCTGTTTTACTAATACGACGTTCGACCAGAATTGTATAAAATAGTACAATACTGAGTAAAATTACGTAAAGAAATAGATAAACTCTTGTATGAATTTGTTGTTGACGAATATGAGTGTTATCATTTAATTCTGTTTCGTAGATGTTAAAATTTTCAATTTTATCATAGATAATACGTGGAAAGTTTCTAAAACGAACACCGATTGAAGATGATCCTAAAATGAATTTTATATGAAATCAAATCAATGTGTTTTTTGTTCTGAATAGTACTTCAACTATGCTAGTTTTGTGATTCATAAATTTCCTGACTCAATAGTCTGAGGCGAAGGGTGGGTGTGGATGAAGAGAAAAGTAGCAACCAGATCCATACCGACACCCACATTATTAGATCTCGATTTTAAGAGACAAAATAATGATCTAATTAACAAGTAACGTTCGTCGTCTCGACTCACTGCACCTTGACTTTGAGAATGTGGGTGCGTGAATCTAGGTGTGGGTATCGATAATTAATCCGAACTGAACACACAGACACAGTCACACCTACTCCCACCCACTTTCACTCCAAATCACCCACTTCCGCTGACTCGCCCACCGTCTACCCTATTTCCACTCACTCACACCCTATTTCACCCATTTCCATGCACTTCTACCCTATTTCATTCAGTCCACCCACGCTCACCCTATTTCGTCCACTTCCACCCACGACCACCTTGTTTACCCCCCCCCCCCCCCCCCCCCCCACGCGCCCTATTCCACTGACCGGAGCTCATTTTCACCCACACCCAATTATTTAGGAGTAGATGTTTTTGACCTTGACACAAACATACATACACACACACAAACTATTTTATTTCATATGACCCTCTCTACAGTCGGGGGAATATACAAAGAATCGTGATAAGATGTTTCATTATCCTTTGAAAATTGTATAAGAAACTATAATACTTCTCAATGAGTTTCTTATCGATTTTCGAAGTTGATTAGTTTTAAAAAGAAATATATCCTTTCAGTTCTAATCGATATGTATTTATATAATTATTAAAATTTTAATTGAATTATGCTTTTGAAAATGATTTCTATCTATATCTTACCTCGCTGAGTATTTCGATTTCTTTTCCAATCAAAACAAATAAAAATGATTTTACCAATTAGTGGAACAAGTAGTTGAAGACCTTTGTTTAGACCACTGCAGATCGAAATAAGAAGAAATATTATCACAATGTAATGGCGACGTTGAACAACGGTATATGAGCAAAAACTAGGTTTACATGCGTTATAAAATCTATCGAAGTCTGTATTATTGATTGTTTTTTCGAGTAGCATTTTATCAAGTAAATCTTCTGTTTTGGGATCATCAAATTGAGTCGATATAGATGCGTTAAGAGGTTTGATATTTGGTGGAGGTCGAGTATGATTAGTCATGGAATAAGTTGCATGAATATGTTTCATATATGTGATATCGTACCACCATTCCGTTCTTGACATGAGAAACCCACTTAAAGGTGAACAACCAAGATATAATATTTTGAATAATAAATTTCTATAAATATTGTCAAGATATGATGTATTCATATATAATACGGGGATTGCATAGCAGAAATTAGGCTCTGATCCACAAGTGCAGTGGTGCACAAGCTGTGGAGAGCCGTCTGATGCGACAATTACTATAAGATATTCACGAAATTCAGCAACTACTTGACCATCATTGCTTTTATTTATAAGAACGTTTGTATTCAGTCCATTGTAAAGAGGACTATAAAGAAAAAGAAGTTTCGTCCAATTAAATGTTTGTACAAAATCATTGATTGTTGTATCAATAAATGTAGTAAGCATAGCTCCAGTTTGTTGAGTAAAACGTGATTCAGAAGGAACACGATCGTTAATAAATTTAGTATTAATAAATACATGCTGTGCGTCTGCAATGTTCGCTTCAGCTAATGAACAAAAAGCAGCTAAAAGTTGAAAATAAGAAACACCCATTTTACGAAAATCTTCAGCATTTTTGAAGTTAATATCGAGCGGCAGATGAGTCGGATCAAAAGATATCAGATAATGTAACCATTCTAATGAAACCAAATCACTTGAACAGACTTGATGTAATACAAATGTTACATTAAGAAAAACTTCATTGGAAATGGATATTTGTGAACAAGGACAATATAATGTGGTTGGATGATCCTTATACAATTGTTCATAAGTATCAAGAGATGGATCTTGAATTGTTATCACTTGATTTTGCTCTATAACAATAGTGTATAGTCCAGCAGCAATTGATAAAATAACAATGCCAAAAATGAAAAATCTTGTTAGAAGTTGTTCTCGATAAATGTTAGTAGGTGTACGATGTGTTTGTTTTTCAAAAAGATTTAAAGATACAATTGCTTGCCATAATTTATTTAATAAAAGTCGAATGCGAAGTTGTATACGTTGCTCTAAAAAGAAAATGAATCATAAATTCTTTCATTAAAATACAATATTTCTTATGTCTAAATATTCAAAACAAACTATTAAACTGATAGGAGATATGTGATTCGAGTCATCGAACATGCAGTAAATCACAAATCATTCGACTATGTACCAGGATAGTTTTGAATGTAAGCTGAATATTAGGTTTACATACATCTCCTCACTCAGTTATAGAAATAAGAGTTCCTATCGGTTGTAAATTAATACATCGATCGATTAATTGGTTGTCAGAACTGTTGATCGACTTTATCTCTGACTTATACTATCAGCCACTTTCAAGTTTCTAAAAATTTATTCTAACTTACTTCGATTGTGTTCCATAGACGTTATAGCTGACACATTTTCCATTGGTAAAATTCGATTTTTTCGACGTAAAATCATTGTTGCAATAAAAGATGCAATGTGTCGTATGATTACTGGCAATATACCAATAGAGGCAGTAACAGCCGTGAACATAAAAAAAATGTCAAAACGTCTGCTATATGAATATGAGCAAAAAGGACAATTACATTCTGAAAAATATTTATCAAATCGAATTTCAGTTATTGTGTCATCTATCATTGATTTATTGAAGATAAATTGTACTGTTGAATACATAGAAAAATTTTTATTCGATGTATTTGATAATGGTTTAATATTCATTGATAACTGTCCATGTAAAATTGAAATGCATGATTGATTATAATAACATTCAAGTGTTGAGGCAAGTGTACCGTCAACAATTAAACAATCTACTATCATTCCTGGTACATTAGTTAAATGACCATAACTATCATTAAATGTAGCAGATCGTGGGCAGCCTTCAATATTTAAACAACTACAATTACCAAATGTTCGAGCTATCATTTTTGCAGATTTTGGTAGATTTAAACGTGCTGGTGGATAACGTAAATAGAAATTTGTTTGTAAAGCTGATACAACTTGATTTCCACGTGTTATACGTTGAAGAGCAAGTAAATTACGAGTTGATATTGTTTTCGATAGATCTATTTGATTTTGAAGAGCGTTTTCAGCCTGAGTTCGAATAACTTGTTCAGCAACTGCTGTAGGAGTGATAAAACTTGTACCTTCAAAATTTGCAAGAACATCATTCCAGCTTTTGTTACTTGCTATACATAAACCAGCAATTGTTTGCCAAAAAAAACTAAGAGTAATACGAGCATCATCGATAGATTCGCTTGAAATATTTTCATTTGTAAATAATTTCTCAATCCATGTCTGTTGAATAAATTCACTTGAACAAACTTGATGAAAACTAACTTTAGTAGTGACGAATTTCGCATAGTTTGTTGAAGATTTTGAACATGGACAACGAAGAGTATTCGGATACTTTCGAATTAATTGTGAAAACTTCTCATGTGAAGGTTTATATTCAATTTTGTCAACAGGTCGAACGATAAGTGCAACAGCAATAGTAATGATAGATACACATACAATTAATGCAATCACATAAATACGAGTGGCAAGAAATTCTTTTTCAAGAGTATGTTCATTACTTGAATGTTTTTTGTATAGATTTAATTCAAGAAATTTCTGCCATATACATTTCACTAAATTGCGAATCATTTTAAGACTCTCACCTGCATCTAAAAAAAAGAATGACTTTTCTTCGTATCACTATTAGATTTATATTCAAGAAAAATGATGAATGACGAACATGTTTTATTTTAAACTTTGTTGTTCATCTATCATTGCTAAGAAAAATGATTGATGTGAAAGGTTTTATTTTGAATATAAGAAAATAATAAAACTGCTTTATCTTCATTTGCAGTGAATGATTGATAAGTTCCGAATTACTTTACATATATTTTGTAAAACTTTTAATAAAAAAATCTTTCACAAAAAAATAGTAAATAAGTTGAATATGTAATGAATTTATTATATACTAAATTCGATGAGTGAAAACAATTTATTACTAAGTAAAGATGGTTAAGACATAAGAAGAATTGTCACTTGGTGCTGTGATGTGTACATTTTCTTTTATTAGTACTGATATGGCGTCATAATATACGTAAATTTTTTTTTTCTTCATGACGTCATCTATATTGATCTTCACTATTCTCCAGAGATTTCTTCTCCTCTTATTCTTGAGGATGTAGTTGTGAATAGTATTGTTAACTGATAATCATATCCTCATTCATATTCCATCCTTCGCTTGATTCTTATTTCCATTAGTAATAATTTTATCACAACTTGTATTTAATCTCTATTTCAGCAACATAATCATTTCTTATATTAGTAATAGCAATACTACTAGGATAATTACGCTAATTTATTTCATTCTCTTTACCAACAGTTGTTTCATTTTGTCTCCATTTAAATCAGTATGAATTAACATAGAAAATTTTTCTATTCATCTCTATTATCTTGATCTTTTCGATAAGACTATATCTATTATTCTCGATGTTGATAATATGATGATTATTTCTAATAACACCAATCAAATTCATCATATCATATTTTTCGATTTAATTAGAATTAGTAAATGAAAGCGTCATTAATTATAAAAGATATAAAGACATTTATATTTGCGAGATATTTTCATCTAATAAAAATGAATGCAATATGAGTGGGTTTTCTTTAAATAATATCATTCAATGTCAAAACTGAATCCAACGCATTATTTGATATATGAAATAAAAATTTATCAAATCTATAACTATAAAACATCCATCATTTTTCTTTTTGTATTTCAAGAACATTTATTTTCTAAATAAAAATATTTTCTTATAAAAATCATCAATCTTTCTTTTTAATACGTCATCGACGAGCTTGAAATATCATGTTTTTATGACGATTATAAAAATGATCATGTGAATTAAACTACGCATTTGATAAACCCTTTCCTATATTATTTGAGACCAATCTCAACTGAAAATGATGGATGAACACCGAGAAAATATAAAAACACAGTCAAAGTGTAAAAAAAGAAAATTTCTCTCAATGTGAGGGTGTGGATAAAATATAAGTATAACATTTATCACCATATCATATATACACAGACTACAGAATATAACATAGGAAAAGATTATTTAAGTTGAGGATTAAACATGTGTCAGAAATGCTATTCTCGAACACATCTAGTTGTAACTCATACTTTATTTAATTTGGCTGAACAATATACTAATATTGAAGAATATGGTATCGCTGTTGGAATGTATAAAAAAAAACAGTTCAAACTCAAGTAGAAAAATTACCTTCATCTAACATTTTCATGACTGATAGTCATAATAGAATTGAATTCGCTTATGGAAAACTAAAGAACATCTGACGAAAAGTAGAAATATATATAAGAACAATAAATAATAATATAATGTACTTTGGAAAAAGAATGCATTTATAAAAAAAAAGATTGTTTCGTGCCCTCTTGAATTATTAAAATAAATATTAAAAGTTCTACTATATAGACAGAGTAAAATTTACGTGGAGGGTGAAACATATTTGGATGCGCGGGTCCTGGGGGAGATTTCGGTGGTATTGGACCTTTAGATGGTCCTGAACTATGATAATCAGACGAGATTGAATGAGAACTTGTTTCACGAGTATTGTTTTGTTGAGATGTTGAATTTTTTCCACATGATGATCTTAATAGAGGATAATCTGATTCGACTTCTTTCGTTTGAATAATAAAAAGACCGTTTCTAGAATCAAGACATGAAACAACTTTAAATTTTCATGTAGCAACTAATAAGATTTCATCTTCAGTTGGAAAGAATGAATGTTATTTAATATTTTTACCAGATTCATAATCAATATTGAAGAGAGTTTTATCACCTGCTTTTCCAAGAAATTGTTCATGATGAAAATCCCCACCAAGTAAATATTTGTCCTAGTGGATATTGTACACTTAAATCCATTTTTATTCCTCGATAAATAGTTTGATTAACTGATGGTAATTTTTCAAGTGAAGGAATAAAAATTTTTAAATAAAGTTCCTATGATTTTAATTCTTCTTTATCTTCAGCTCGTAGAGTATTATTTAATATAATATAAAAAGAATTTCCTCATGGTTCCCATTCTAATGAATACAACATGATTGAAGCAGATTCGTTCGTTGTTAAACCATCTTTTGGTTTATCACATTTCTCTTTTGCTTTAGATACCATTTCTTTGACTTTGGGAACAAGTGAAACTAATGGCTCAACTGTGTCTTCGAGTGAAACAACCGGTATAGCATCAAAACTTTCAATTGGTTTTCTCATTTGTTGTGATGGTGCTAACTCATCTAGTATTCGAAGAGCATGTTGTGGTTCAAAATCTCTTAAAAATCTTGCAGCCATTTTAAAATGTAATTAAATGAGCAAAATTCTATAAAAAGAAACGGAATAAAAATATGTACTAAAATCGATTATTTATTTTAAAAATTCAAATGAATTTTGATATACACTATGAAATTATAGATGCATAAAATTTATTTCTAGTACATGGAAAAACGATATTCTATTTATTACATACCTGTTTGATTCATGTTCGGAAAAAGTAATAAAAACAAAGAAAGAACATTTATATTTTGTGTTTACACCCTTTCTTTTTTACGACTAAGAAACATAAAATGATACGAATCGTTTCACTTATTTTTGCATATCTTTTTGTATCACATGACTGATCGTATAAGTATTACTGTATTCAGGTGCTTGTGACACATTATAAAGTATATGTTGAGAAAAAAATATAGTTAAATTATATTTTCTTCGATATATACGTTTTTTCTTTTTTCTATGTCTTTTAATAGAGGTCGAAGAAACAGCTATTCATATGCTTTGTGCTCACGCACTCCTGATTTCCTTTGTATTATCCGCTCTCTCCTTCTGCGTCCCTACTATTATAGTCTCTCTTTCTCTCGGACTATCTTAGATACTCGCTTATGCAACGGCGACATCGATCATGTCGAACGTCTCCACGGACTCTCTCTACTGATAGCTTCAAAGAAGCAACCTTCTTATCGAATTGTCTTTCACATCTTCATTATTTCTACTCGTGATGTCTGTTATGATTAATAACCTACGAATAAATTTTTTCCTGATTTCTCATTCTTCAGATTTTCTTTTTCCAGTTTCTTTTCGGAATTTCTTGGCAACACCATTTTCTGTATTGAGTCAAAAGCATGTTTTTGATTGTCATTTTTTGCTCACTTCCTACGGCTAGGAAAAGAAAGAAAAATCTTAAATGACTCATCTTTTCTTTCATCATGATATAAGAAAAACAAACTTCAGTAGTAATTTCATAATCTAGTAACATGTCCTCTGAATTACATATAAATGATGATGATCAAGCATTAGCAATAACTTCTAACAAACCAAATCAATATGAATTACGTCCGATGAATGAAACTGATCTTCCGACAGTCTTGGAAATTGAGAAAATAGTCTGGCATGATGAATCATGGGATTTGGCATTTTTTTACAATTTTTTTAATGATCCATTGTCAAGTTGTTGGATACTTGAAAATACCAACAGTGTACAACCAATAGTTGGATATGGTTTACAATCTCTATTACATAATAAATCAAGTATAACAAACTTAACTCTTCATCCTAGTCAGTGGGGACGTGGCTTAGGTGGTCTACTTTTACGTCATATGATAAAGCATGCTCGTCTATCTTGTGCCGTGAGAATGAGTCTTGAGGTTAGCACATCGAATAAACGTGCATATAACTTATATTTTAATCATGGATTTCGAATATCTAAACTACTTCCGCAATATTATTCGGAAGGTTCCGATGCTTACTGTATGATACTTGTATTATCAATGAAATTTAATGTTGACTAATATTTATGATTTATTTTTCGTTTAAATAGTTAATATTTTTTTCAATATCGAAAAATGTGAATAAAAGTTGCTTTTAGATCATCGTATTAAAAATGCCTAGAAATGTGGCTATAATAAGAAAATAAATCGGTGTAATATACTGCGAATATCGTTGAAATAAATTTACATAGAAAAATATATATAACTATTTATGTACAACGCCTATGACAAAGTCATTGTTATTGGCAATAACACAACAAAGATGTGGTTATAGCTGGGTGTCTGTGTCTGTAAAAATACTGTATTCATCCACACCCACACCCACACTCTTCAGGATCTGTCCAAATCCATAGGATCCGCTTTTACCCTCTGGGTAAAAAAATTCTATCTTGGAAGAAAACTTCATTTTCTTACTCTTTCATTATCCACGATCTATACAACGAAGCACGAGTATCAATAAAACTACTATCTTATTCAAGAAATTATTCATCCAGTAGAGATGTTTTTCACAAAAATGAGCTGTCTACAGTGAACATCACTCATCATCAATGATAAATACATGAATTTTATTTTATTTAACACAAAAATGAACAAAAAAGACATTAATCAATGTCTTTTATGTTTTAATAACATAGATTTTATAAAGATGAACATTTTTGTTAGACAAAACAAGCTGTGCTATATTATATAAAAGAAGAAAAAGATAAATATTTTAAAAATGGTTGAATGAATTATGAATGAAGTATATAAAAAGAAATTGAATACAATATAAAAGTATATATCAACAGGCACCAGAAAAAAAGATGAGAAAAAAGCTGCTCATGGTTTGATGATGAATATAATTCATATGCGCATATGCCAATGACGTACTTATATCATGCACAAGAAACTCTCATGCGCAATTGATGAAGTGCTTCTATATGGGTAGATAAATAATATATAAATGATCGATGAAAGAAAACCTCCTTTGAAGAGATATTATAATAACACGTTCATTAAATTAATCATCACAATCATGTTTTGTTTTTTTTATTTCTTTAAGATTGGCTTCCATTTTTGAATCACTTCATATAAATATAGAAGAAAATCGACCTGACTAAAAACTCTTTCATTGGTATTGTCAAGTCTTTAAGAAATAGATAATGTGAGGGTGTAGGCGTAGGTTTGAATATCTGGTATACATGAAAACCATATCAATATCCACACCCATTAGTTAAAATGAAGAATTCTTATATTTATCTAATGAACAAAATCTAGTGAAGATCAATGATCGATTTTTAGATTCATTATAAACAAGTATGATTAGCAAATCATATTATAAAACCAAAGAATTTAGAAATCAAATCAAATAAATGTCTGACGTTTAAAATACTCATGAAATATTTTCATCATAAATTAATCAGCTGTAATGAAAAAATCTTTAGTCTTTCTTCTTTAATAATATGAAATAAAATGAATGAGAAATACATAAAAATATTTCTTATTCAAATAATATCAATCAATTTCAAAGATTTTATGGTAAAAACAAAAATGTTAATTCAATCGAAATCAACAGTTTTCTAAAAGCATATTGAAAGATGGATTCAAAATTTCTCTCAAAAAATGAGGTACATAAATACGAATGAAATAGTGTCTTGGAGCTTGATGAAAATGAATATATAAAAAACATGAATCAGCTCAAAAATCATAGAAGTACTGAGATGATGAATATCAATTCCAATAATTGTCAGAACTAGGGTCAATGAATGTTCTCATATCAATACATGTATTTTTATTCCAGTAAATGATAACATATTGTTTCAATTTAAAAACATTTTGTTCTTGTTGAACGACATAAAAGTTCAAAAAATATGATTTATAATTATATCTAAATTATTCTTGTACTTTTTTTCTATATGTTAAACACCTACATGCATATTCTCTATGTATTCTAATCCTTTATGATTAATGAATCTGCTAGAAAAGCATGATTTGATTTTTCTTAACATTATAAGAAATATTTTGATTTATTAAGTCAATGATAGATCCGAAATAATAAATAGCACGTTTTTTTTATTTTCTCTTAAACTTTGTAATTAAGACTTCATTTATTAAGTTTATGATCAATAGTCATTAAACAGGCAAACATTTTTCTCGTATTTATACGTCTCCAACTTTGTTTTTCTTCATTGTGATTCCAAGCCGGCTCAGGTAAGTGTTTGATATCAAAAACTCTTATACCTTCTTCATGTGATTCTCTAGATATTACATTGCCTTTAAGTCTAAAATATTGATATGCTACTGTGAGACATTCACAGCTTCACATATTGGAAAACAATAAAAAGTGTAGATAGGAATGCGTTTGAAAGTTTTGTATCTATCACCACAACATGTCTTGCCGCGCACACAAGCGATTGACAACTGTGGTTATATACTTCCCCAAATCTTCCTCTGCAACTTTACTCTACTACCGTATTCACTTCCAGGGTGAGGGTGTGGGTGTGGGCTTAGAATGAATAGAATACCCATACCCACCCTAACTACTATAAGTTTTTAGAAAAGATTTTCATGGCCTACTAGGAACTACTAGGGATTGCTAGGGACTACCATGGATAATAGCTCCATTCTCGCCCACATCAACATAATGCGCCCGTCGAGGATATAACAGATTCACCCACAAGCTCACACCCACACCCTATCATCTGAATTGAGGGCATTTTCTTTTTTTTAATAGAAAAATCTTTTGTTTTAAAGCTATCATATAGTCATTATTGTTTCAGATAGTTTTTATATAATATTAAAGTAATTGTATTTTATAAGAGAGAAATTCTATACGATGAACATTTTCTTATATCATCTTTTTCTGAGTTCTTTTTTAGATTTAGTTTCACAACACTGCAACATTTTGACGAAGATTTACGAATGGAGAAACAAAACAGAATACATGTTTGTGATATAATTTATTATAGGAAAAACAAAAACTAACTTGTTTTTTTCTTCTTTATTTTGTAGCCTGAGTCAGTTAACAGTGGTATAGGTGAAGCACAACCTATACAATCGACAAGACCGTACGTGTATTCTGAGCTTGAATAAATTAAAAACAAAATTATTTTAGATGTGTGTGCATTCGAAGTAAATTGACGTGGATCATATTTACTATTGTGATAATAGCGATCATTACTATTCCAACAGCTATTATTCTGACGAAAAAGGGAAATGTTGTTGAAACAAATTTAACAACAGTAATGATGTCAACAGGAGAAAGGTCAACAACATTAATGTTAGCAACCACAAAATCATCAACAACAACAGCAGAACCAGAATCAACAACAACAATAACAACAACAACAACAACAACAGAAGAAGCAGGTATGTCTGTTTTCAAAGAGAGATAAAAAGAAGTTGATCAATTACTTACAATAACTTATAACAGGCTATTTAATGAAAACATATCAATCATATATTGTTAGTTGATTCTTACTTTTCTAGTCTAATGGAAATTTCAGATATTCCATTATTTTCATTATTTTTTATAAGAAAGAATAATTATAAAAACCCTTTATCTTCATAAAATAAAGAAGTTTATTTTCTAGAAAATCCAGTTTTTTCAATGTAATTTACAAAGAAAGTCAGATTCCATAAATAGGAATAAAATATCTGAAAAAGCTTTTTTCATATATTTCCTCAAGTATCATCTTTATTTTTTTATAACATCGCATGACGATGGTGTGGGTAGTGATAAGACAGAATATAGATTAATATATATCCAATTGCTATGCTAAGGATTTATCTCATTATCTAGTATAGAAAGAGATCTTTTTTTATTCTTTTCTTTTGAAAATATAAGGATTCTATTTATGTTTATTTGATAAAATAAAGATAAAGTAATTCCCCTAATTGTAATAATAGCAAAGATCATAGATTAAGGAATGATAGTGTTTCTGATAATACTGTCTTTTTGTATGAGAATATGTTGTTTATTAGTTTTTTTTATTTTTGCTCTATTTGATTCGATGAAAACTAAATGCTGATTGTGACGTATGTCTACACGGAGCAAGTCGAGATGTATATTCTTTCGTAAATAACTTTATTACTTACGATGGGTGGGGTATGGGTGAGGGCGAGGATGACGATGTAAGTGTGGTTATCTCAAACACAATATTCACACACCCACACCCCCGAGAGCAGCTTCAAACTTGTGTTTGGACTATATTGTATCGATTTTGAGAGAATACAGATTCAAAGAATAGCTATATCGAATAAATAATCACATATGTATCAATGTTGTATCTAGCTTTGAGTCCAATCGTATTCTGAAAGTGACGTTTCACCATCAGGTAGCGAATAACATATTATTTTCATTTATTTTAATGCTAGATTTATCCGGCAATTCGCCATGGAGTATAACAGGCACCGCTCTGGTCTCCTCATTAACAAGACTGTCATGCACACGTTTGTTCATTGATTCCGATGACACTTTGTATGGTGCTGATAATGACAGGCACTATATTTGGAAGTTATCAAAAAATGCCAAATATGCAACAATTGTCGCTGGAGTTTATGAATCAACAGGATCTGATAGTGTCAAACTACAGTATCCCGAAGATGTTTATGTTGATCGATATGGGAGTATATATGTGCTCGATAGTAACAATCATCGCGTACAAAAATTCATTAATGGAACAATACATGGACAAACTATTGCAGGTTTAGCTGAACCAGGTGGATGTTCTTTAAACCGGTTATATTATCCTCGAGGTTTAGCTTTTGATCCAACAGATACATTCATGTATATTGCTGATCGTAGCTGTCATCGAATAATACGTTTTTTGACGAATTCAACTTTAGGTACTAATGGAGTTGTTGTAGCTGGAACTGGAAGTCAAGCCGATACAAACAAAGCATTGAGTGGACCCTGGGGTATTTGGTATTCATCATCGAAACATAATGATTTACTTATCGGAAACTATGATGGACATTCAGTAATACGTTGGACTCCTGGTGCTACCTCAGGTACGTTTGTAGCCGGTTTGCCTGGTATTGCGTGTTCTAACTCTACTTGCTTTTCCCGGCCCGCGGATGTTAAAAATGATGCTGATCTGAATATGTATGTTGTTGACACGGAGAATCATCGAGTGCAAATGTTTTGTAAAAACAGTGATGTAGGTGTGACTATTGTTGGAAATGGTGTTGCCGGTGCTAGTTCAACACAGTTAGATAGTCCACGTGGTATGGCATTCGATTCGGAAATGAATATGTATGTTTGTGATACAGGTAACAAGCGTGTGCAGAAGTTTCTCAAACTTTGAGATAAACAAACTATTATTTGACTGATCTTTTAATTGGAATTTTAAATTACTGGATGGAAAAAAAATGATAAAAACATTTGATATATATATCCTTGCTTACGTTGCAATATATGTATGTTCGCTTCGTTTCCGCATTTCTCTTCTGTCATTCGGCAGTTTTCTGTTTTGTTTCATTTCAATAAAAAATAAACGAAATGAAGTAATCATGTATTTTTTTTTAAAATGACTTAAAGGTTATTTATCTTGAAAATGTCGGTAAGGATTAGGGAACTGCAAAGTGGTCCCGGTCCCGGTCCCGCGGGACTGGGACCGGGACCGGGACCAAATTTCTCTAAGTTACTGGGACCGGGACCGGGGCCAAGGCTAAAATTGTCATCTAATTCCTCAATGTTTTTACCAAGTATGAGACCAGACATTTTCTATTTTTTTTTGTTTTTTTAATTAAAAATTGACAAATGTGTTATCTTATAGTTCAACAAAAACCGTATAGATTGAATTTACAATTGAAAAAGCGAGAATTTTCGTGAAGTTCATATTCTTTTTTTCACAGATGAAGACAACACCAGAATTATTCTTAAGCTTTTATCAAGACCGGGACCAGCGGGACCGGGACCGGGACCAACTGAAAAAATTGACCGGGACTAGGACCGCGACTAAAAAGATTTTACCGGGACCGGGACCGGGACCAAAAAAAGTGATTTTGCAGTTCCCTAGCAGTTACCTTCTTGTTGGCACAATATCATCCCACTGATCAACACATATCCTTAAACAGTTTTGTCTTCATACTATTCTTGTATAAAATAAAATTTTTGAACAATATGTGATCTTATTTTTCTTATTTTATTAAAGAATCAAATCACCCACACTCACATCCTCATAATCGCAGGAAAAGGCGTAATGATGAAAAGCAAAATAAATGTCTTTTCACTAATAAAGTTCGACAGTACATAGATAATTGATAGTTTCATTCTGGCCAGTAACTAATACTTTTCCATTTTTTAACAAAGTTGATGTATACATAACGCATACTACTAGTGATTGCTCATGATTCTAACATTGGATCATATAGTTCAAAAATATTTGCTTTTATTTCATTAGAAGATCCATCGGCGATCAAAATCTTGTCATCTGTTAATACAGAAAGTTGATGCCATGTTCGTTGATGTTTCATGCTTTCAATTTTCTCTATGTTCTATTTGATAGATCGTATAATTCAGCACTAAAATGAAACATATTATATGCATGATTATGGGCGAGAGGGTGTGAGTGTGGGTGATGTGGGTGTGGTGTGAGTG